GAAGCCGGTGCGATCTTATATTTCTCAATGTTCAAACGACCTCTCACTTATATTATGACTGTAGGATGTAAACGCAGTCCGACGATGTGATCAATGTCACAAAGAAGTCAACATTGGCCTTGGTGGTGAAGCCAACTGGCAACAGCACCTGGCCAGCAAGGCTCATGTCCAGAATGTTAAAGCCTTGGAGGCGAGTTCGAAGCTGTCGCTTTACGGTTTCAAGGTTGAAGGCCGACCATCTCGAAAGGAAGAAGTATACTTGAATTCACCTTTGGATACGGTCAGTACATCCCCCTCGTACATATACAGCACGTATGAAGTTTATAAACGTCCAGCGGCTAGTTCTCTCAGCAATGGAAATGCAAGCAGGCGTTGCTGCACTATCAAACCCCCATTTGTGTACGGAAGCCATCCGGTAAAAATCAATAGCCATGCTCCGACTGCGCGTACTTACCAGACCTGGATGTTATTTTGCTCTAGGGACATTTATGAGCATCGATTGGACGTACCAGAGCCATTTTTACGGGTTGTCAAACGAGAACGTGAGAGTCCGGAGCTGGTTGATTGGCCAGCCAGGGATCGCAGGGCACCTTTTGAGAGTCCTCCTCGGCTGACACACTACCGAGATGTTCCTACCTCTCCTAGAGTCTGTCCTAAGGGTGAACTCCTGTCTAGATCTCCGACAGATTATTTGCAAGAAGCATGGGTACCGGATATCTCAGCTCCGCAGACCGTTGTTAAGGCCGTCGGTGAACAGCTGAATGGCTTGACATCCGCACATGAACCGCAGGATCAGTACACATCGCCTCGAAGACCTTCACCCGTGTTGCAAAGTGACGCATTACAGTAGCTTTTCTTTAGGGCGGCAGCATAACCATCTCCTTCTGCAAAGCTTCTTGCTTGGGTGAGTAAATGTTTTCACAGAGGACCTTTGTGTTTCTGTGCTCTATCTAAATTTATTGCCTATAGTTTCGTCCTGGATGCGTCGAGGGAGATTCTCGACGTTCTCAGTGCAGGAGGCGTGGAAGCTCCGGAATCGCGAGCGTATGGTTGAATACTTAGATGTCGACGCCACGCGTAGCACGGTGGTGCGGGTATCAGGTCTCCTGGGGGAAAGGGCAGTTTTTCGCAATGCGCTCTCAATGACAATATTGCCAGATGTCATTTGCGTTCAATTATCAAAAAATGTGCCATGGTAAAAATGGTACTGCGAGTGAGTGGTATAGTCAAGGTTTGGCACTACCGGGATTAAACGCAGCAGTAGGCAACGTCGTCGCTGGGGCTACGATACAGAGCAATTCATACATACGTCATAATAACACCAGAAGATAAATGTCCGTCAAGTAAGTCATAATAGTCAGCTTGAACCAGTTGCTCCAGCCGGCTTCGATCTCCACCAGCTCCAGACACTCAGTCCGATTACGAAGTTCCCGATGCCAAAGAACGGCGAGCCGGCACCGAGGAAGGTAAACAGCCACCATAGGTAACCTATCACTTTGTCAAGAGACTTCCCCGTATATCGTTTGAGTGTAGCCAAAGAATCCGGTTTGGGGGAATAGTGAGATGGAAGCTGAATCAGAGGAGGAGTCGCTAGGGGGCCGGATGGCGAAGGTCCCAGGGAGGGGAGAAGAAGGACAGTAACGATCGGTTTCTGGGAAAGCAAGGATAAGTGGACGAGCTACTGTAAACGGGAACAGCGTACATGGTCTGACGTCGTGTACGACGGTACAGAAGTGTAGAGCGCGTTGGTGACATTGGACTTGAACGGTGTCTCTGGTGTGTCGCTGTAGGTGGTATACATTATCCTGTCCGTCCATGCAGGATGCCGCTTCGGACTATCATCCACGTTAGAATGCAGTAGTCGTCTAACAACGGCAGAAACGACTCACTCATACTTGTCCACCTCGCCCAATTTATACTTGTAGCTACACTTGAACTTCCAGAAGTCGCCTTCTCTCAGCCCAACGAAAGCACTGCGCCTCTGGTCCCGCTCAATCAACAACTGATCGTATTGCTTCAATTCTTCGCGTACACTTTCCTGTTCAAGCAGCCTTGCCAAGTTGGCCTGGTTATCATGCGACGAGTGGGCGAGGTCGTGGTCTGGCGGTAGGCTGAGACGGAAGTTCAGGTCGCCGAAGAAGAATAGATGAGACGAGTCGTATATTGTCGAGGGCTCCTTGGAGGTGGAAGGGTCCAATGGCGGGAAGAGCAGTGACCCGACGATGTGATGAAAGTCGGCAATACGCCGGTCAAGTTTGTGCGAATGTGCTGTAAGATGAGCACACACAAAGCTGTGAGAACGATTGAGCAAGGAGGAATATATTAACGGTGTTCGGACGAGGTATGATGCACAGATTATCAACGTACGTGAAGACTTCGCCTACACCCCCATCATCCCCACGCACGCGGAATCGCACCCCAACTGCGCCCTTGTTTCCCATGTATCCCGGTCCACAGCCTGTCCATTGCGTGTGCACATCCTCAACCTTCCGTCCGACGCCGTCGTCTCGACCATACACCAGCAGCGCCACGCCAACATTGACCACCTTAGCGATGAGAGTGTATTTCTCCTCGCTGGGAGCGTGTTCCTCGATTTGTGAAAGAATCAGCGCATTTCTGTGCTCGATCACCTTCTTGGACAAGCCAGACACTACGTAACGAGGTCATTATACGGTTCAATATTCATAACATCAGAGGCAAACAACACTCACATCCCAAATGGAGTGGCAAAAGCTCCTGGAATCCAACTGCGACAATATCAGGAGCCCTTGGCTCTCGAGACAGAAACGACGAGACCTGTAATGTTGGAGCCAACCAGTCGACTAGGTCCTGTGGCACTCCGCGTTCGGCCTGTAAGTTGGTGTTGTAAGAGGCTATCTGTACGAGAAGACGATTGTCCGACATCCTCGCTGTCTGGTGTCTGGCCACAGAAGGCGGCTGAGCAAGTCTCCGACGCAGTTACCGCTGAGAGGACGGAACAAGAAGGTTTGCACGGGTGCGGTACCGGTGTTGTACTGCGTCGTGCGTCTGACGTCAATTCCACCAGGCACTGTTCCTGCGGATATTCTCTTGGAAAATTCGACTTTCATGCTCACAACCACTGGCAGGTAATAGCATGTCAGGAGTCGTTTCTACATGGCGAGGGTTACATAGATATTGGCATGACCTCGAGCACACAACTGAACGATCGCCGTTACTATATAAGGTGTCCAAACTGTACATATGTACATATGCCTTCCGTGAGTTTACTTCTCCTGCGCATCGTCTAAGTCAGCATTAGGCACAGCCTCCTCAAGTGCCTTCAGATCCTGCCAGCTCGTATGAGAGTCGGAGTGTGAGGAACTTGAGTTGGAGACACTTGTTTCGTGCTGTCTTTCCGACGTCTCTGTTATACGACTGTTTGTTACGCCTGCGTGTGATGTTGGTCCGGCGAAGCGCAGCGTAGAATGAGTAGGACCTAGCCCTGGGCCCAGAGAATCCGGTCCAAGTGCGTCGTTTCGTTGGTTCCGAACTTTCTGGAAATCAACGAGTATGATGATGAGGCTGGGATACACACCCTGGGAACGGTATCAGCGGTGAGAAGAGTTTGCGCGTGCAAGCAACAAGACATACAACTAGCTGCGGTACAATCCCTGCAATGATGTGTGCTGCATGGGAAAAGCTTCCTCCGTTGAAAATTCGGGTAAAGATGAACAACGCCTGTGAAGAGTAAGCGAATGGGGTTAACCTCAGTCTATGCCGAAGCAGGCTTACCCATATGAGAGAGTACAATAGACCTGATTCTACTAGAAGGGTGAGCACTCTCAGCACTCTCGATTCCTTGCCTTCCTCCCCAACATGCATGTTAATAACTCTTCTGTGCTTCCTACGTGAGGATATCGGGCAGCTCATGAGCCCGATGTATTCTTGTATGCCAATGAAAATGATCACGTACCATGCCTTGTACCCTATCAGTGCCGTCGCCCAAATATTTGATAGCAAGGATAGAAGCAGGGCCACAAAGCCAAAGGCATTAGGCTGAAAGCTGTGGCTTTCGGACGTTGGGACTTGTGTTGTGGCCACATCGACACATGCGAAGATCAGCTAGTAGATGTAGCGAACGCCATTGAATCACCTAGAAAGTGCAAACCAAAATGAAGCAAACGTACGGGGAGTACGACGAACAGACCGGCTACTACCAAAACACTGCGGCTCCAGTTCCAGAGCGCACAGGCACGCCACATTACCACCATGTCGTTGATCCAGAACTGCCGGATACATTAAGTTGCGAAAGTTGATAATGGATGGATACATACATTGAGAAAGAGTGCGATAGTAGTGATAAATGACCAAAGCCAAGCGGTCCGGGCTGGGAGGGCCACCCATGCCTGGGGGTCCTCTATTTCTCGCATGAGGGTATAGACATTCAACCCCCAATGTACGCCAGATACAACATACATAATGAGACTTGTGCACAATAAGAAGACCCGCGCCCGCGTGTTGAGGCCTTCTTTCCTTTGAGCATCCAATACTTTAGCGACGTTGGAACAACATAAAAATAGAGACGTACACAAGACAGTATGTGGAGAAAGCAACCAATAAAGACAGTATACCTAGTGACACAGTAAGATGATCATAAGGAGAACAAAATAACAAGCACAGAGAGCTACAAACCAAAAAATGCCGACTCTACTAGGCCACCTGGGACCAGATTGACAGTATCCGACAGGGCTAGCAGCACAGCTGCAAAGTCGCTCGGGGTCTGAGAGTCCATCATGGGGAAGATTCCAAGCACTCCCTGGTAGGCTTGCAGCGGCCACTTTATACTGTACCCATCTGCTCGATGGCAAGATGATCAAAGCTTGGATGACAGCATGTTGGCTGTGTTGTTGCAGATGATGATAGCGACGCTCAATTCAATAGCCATAGTGGTGAATTGGAAAGTGTCGCGGTTGCGACTGGTATTGGCAGCGTCGAGTCCAGCGTGCGCTATGGGGGGTACCAAGCGCCTTATCTATATGGCCGGGATAGCTCAGCTGGGAGAGCAGCAGACTGAAGTTTCTCGATTTCTGAAGGTCGCGTGTTCAAGCCACGCTCCTGGCATTTGTTTTTGTTGGTTTAATGTTAATCTGTGCGGCCGCCTTCGAGACTGCTTGTGAGCCAAAAATTTCTCGTATTTCCCACGCTCTCAGAAAGCTGACGCACGTGTGTACTGCAACACTCCCACAGGCACGCATGACTTCTGGCCGTTAGTACGCGCCTCTTGTCAAGAAGCCACGCCGTCATCAAATGTTGTGCGGACGAGCCACTCAGGCCTATATATGCATGCTGTGAAACTGCAGCAGCCACAGCTCACTCTCGCTCCTCCATAGCAGCTACTGCGTACATGCCATAACTTGTCAATAACAAACCTGCAAGCCTCACGTGCACAGAGTTGTATTCCTGAGTAAGTGGATTTCACACCCTCTGTACTGCGTATCTCATCCATCTATGCTATTTGCGCAGTTTCTCGTGCCATGTCCGCTGCATCGGCGTCATCGTCGTCGTTGTCTTCGTTGTCGCCACAGTTTAATGACGATACGCCCCTACCAGCGGTGCCCGCCCGCATGCAGACATTTCTAGCGGGTAGCTTCGTCTTTTCCGCTGGCTCAACTCTGTTCAGGCGACACAAACGTGCGGACGGCACCGAGGAACTCCAGCTCTGCGTACTTCACCAGACTCGCAAGAACCTCTGGGTTCTTCCAAAGGGCCGCAAAGACTGCTACGAGGCGACCGAGACTGCCGCGGTGCGGGAGACATACGAGGAAACCGGATACCCCTGCGAGATTGTTCCGCTCCGGATGGCGACGAGGGCAACCTGGCCCGGAGGAGACGGTAGAGATGTCTCGACTGTGCGGGATGGGGTGGTCGAACCCGCGGGGGTGACCGTGATGAACCGAGGTCGGAAAGGGATCAAGGTGATCATGTGGTATGTAACGCGAGTCAAGGACGGCGCTGCCAAGGGCGAGAACACTCAGATGCCAAACGAGAGCTATGAATCCGTGTTCCTGGAGGTAGGCGAGGCCGTGGAGAGGTTGACAGTGCACGACCACCGAGATATTGCGGTGCAGGCGATTGAGCTCGTGCGCTCTACCGAGGCAAAGTTAAGAAAGAAGATAATTTGACGCCAGTCGTACGTCGCCCCCCTCTCGTTGTGAGCGTGTACTATCAGAAGTTTTGCTAACTAGTCGTGTCGATAGGCCAGCCTTGAATCAGACTCCGCTGTGGACTGGAGGGCACAAAGCTTAGCCAAGGGCACAAGCGGTGATACAAGCCATGCCTTCGCGGAGCGTTCAATAGCTCTCCGAGACATCTCATTCGCATTCAAAATCAGAGCATATTCCTGTCCTACCTCCTCGTCAGGCTATGGAGATCTCGTGGACACGCCCGACCTCGGAAAAATTCAGCGGGGAGCGTTCGTGATTACTTCCTTCGCCTCGTCAGCATACTGCGGTACTCGAATGCGGCTGAAGGGAGATGCTAGTCAGCACGGAGAATAGATATATATGTCAAGCATGTAATAAAAGCACAACGATTACACAGATAAACCCAAGTATAACTACGCCAAATTACCCAGCATAAGTAACACAACATCTATACAAGCCCCAGAGATTAGTAAGTGACCCCACGACTGAACGCTAGCTGACACCAGGTCACCAGCACCCCGTCAGTCCCAAAATATGACAGCTATATACCCATCCGAATGTTCGTCTAGATGCAAGAAACCCGGAGATTTCCCCGGTTGATGAAGCCAGGAAGGAAACTAGCAATTTCCTGGCTGACCTCTTGAGTGAGCGCGTCGCCTCGAGTCCCGGATGCGCAGTTCACGTAGAAGCGCACTGTCAAGCCAGTGAACTCTACCCTCGACAGCTCTCTGTCGATGTGCGCCCAGTCGATCGAACGCAGCCCTTGGACGTCTGGCGTCTCGAGCTCGAAGGTGATCTCGCGGAGGAATGGCGAATGGAGGTTCGAAAGCATAAGAGCTATCCAAGGAAACAAGTGAGTTGAGAAGAAACGACGAGAGGTATCTGCAGATACGTCAAGCCCCCCGAATGAGAGAGAACGGAGGGAAGTGTTGTGAGCGAGGCTAACATGATTCGCCAGAACGGCTACAAGCGAAACGGAATGCTCAGCACAATGTGCATGACAGTGCCACAAATGAATAACACACCTTCCTCGGGGATGCCAGACGGGAATTCGATCTGGAGGCGTTCCAAGGAGGAGCCGCTGGCCTTAAGCAAGTCGCCGAGCGCCTTCGTATTGTCCATCTCGCGCCAGCACAGCTGGATAGTGCGGAGCCTTTGTTCGGACGGGTGGCTCAACACCCACTCCGTGACAAGAGTAGGGGAGGAGCGTGGGTCGAGGAAGAGGTATGTCAGCTGCATCTTATCAGCCTGATAGGCCTGTCGGTCCGTCGAAATCCTGTTCGACACGGCGCCGGTATCGATAAACTCATGTTCCCAGGAGACAGCGTGGAAGTAGAGCTCCTCTAACTCCGGGAACGCGTTCAGGAAATCAAGGACATCCCCAGAGGTATGGAAGCGCACTTCGAACAGGATGAGCGTCTTGACGGTCTGAAAGACCGCCTTGAACGCGTCCCTCGTCGCCGGCTCCAGTGTGTTCCATCTGAGCCTGCTCAATGCAAGGGTGTCCACGCGCCCATGCGCGCCGAGGGAGCGAGCGATGCTCTGGGTCTGGTTGACCCACTCGTCGTCCTCGATGGCGTTCTGGTCTTCGTCCACGCCGAGATACTGTGCGCTGATAGTGAGCTTGCGGACGCACCAGGCAACGGTGGGCGCCGCGTCGATGATCTCAGCGAACTGTGTGCATGAGGAAAGGGATGAGAGGCGAATCGTGCGGAAGAGGTGTAGGCGGGCGGTGGGTACCCAGGACCGACACGTCAAGCTGCACGCCTGCAGCGTCTGTGGGTCGTCCCACAGGTGGTCGAGAGTCTCATCGAAGAGCTCCGGGGGAAGTACAACCATCTAGCAGGATGTTAAGCTCTCGAATAGACAGTGTTCAGCCACAAAACATACCGCTATATTGTATTTCTTCCACGCCCACCGGTCGTGTGCTGCTGGTAGGGATGCGGGGGAAAGGTTGATATCCCGCACATTGGCCGTTAGTGTTATACGCCCGAGCTGAATCAGAAACGAATCACACGAGCGGATCAATCCTCGGAGGACTCGTATCTGCCGGGGATGCCGGTCACATCCTGTTCTGCATCCGCCACCAGCGTCCGAATATTCGACGTGACCGCCGAGCTTGGCCGCCTGCTTTACTGGTGTTCTTGCAGTACCGACGACGATGTCTCACCGTGGCTCTTCATTGCTACAACCTCTCGCGCGGCCAGTCTCTGTGCCGCGGTGCGTCGCCAATAGACGGACAAATCTGACAGTTTCTGTGCGTTTCAAGTCGAACAAGGCGGCGAAGAATGCAGGCGTGCAGGCAGAGAACGTGCTGAAGGCGCAACTCAAGAAGGGCGCACCGAGCGAAGTAGAAAAGGAGACTCTGCCATGGAGCGAATACCTTGCCATTAGGAAGACAAAGAGGAGATGGGAGACGGTGAGTTGTGTGCTTCGATGACGCGTGGAACCACCGATTGAGCAGGCGTTCGTGCGTGTCAGGCAATGTCGATACCAATGACGCTCGCCGGCTTTGCTGGAGGCATTGCGTTGCTGGGTAACATGGAGATAGACCCTACAAAACCGATATTCGTGCGTAAAACATGTCATTTTCGTAGCTTGAATGTATGTTCACTTCTTGCTAATGGTGCAGAACATCGATCCCATGTTCGTATTTGGTGCCGCTGCACTGGGCTGTGCGGGTGAGTAAATGTACAAATACTATGCTATCATGCAACCGACGCTTTCTTCTCTTAGGTGCCGGATATCTTGTCGGCCCCGTCGTTGGTTCAGCATGCTGGCGCATGACACACAGGCGGACCCTGAAGCTTATCGAGGCTCGCGACCGTCAATTCCACGAACACGTAGTGAGGAACCGAGTAGACCCCAGGTCCCAAAGTGCTACCAACCCTGTGCCCGACTTTTATGGTGCGTACGAATAAGAAGTGTCCGTGAGGTCCATGAGATTCCTGACGCCGTTTATCCCTCAGGCGAGAAAATTGGTTCTCTGCACGATTATCGGCAGGTAAGCATATAGCGGTTCGTTTGCATAGCCGTTGTCTGACGGGGCCATTGCAGTGGCTGAGAGATCAAGCCAAGTATAGACGTAAAGCCTCTTTGCCCGAGGATTAATAACTTACCCATCTATTGTCGTGTTTATCGCACTGCTCTCTATAAAAAGTATCTGCATACGTGCTATGTGACTTACTAGATGCCTGACGCTTTTGGGATCTATTTACTCCCGGCTATAGATCTCACATCCTACTCGGTACTAAAGGGTGGACAAGCTTGTGAATCGGTGGATCTGAAGCGTGGGTAGCGTAGGTAGGAAACAAACGGTCTTCAACGATCACGAAGACTTCGCTAAGTTCTAACACAAGCGAGCGTCGACCAGTCCATCGAGACTTTCCCTCGCTAACCTCAATATGGTGCTATACCGCTGCGAGTAGCAAATTCTACGACCGTCTAGTCTTCCAATGTCCCGCGTCGGGATGAACGAATGAATGGAAATGCTAGCTATATAATATCGAATTGTAGGTTTTTATACTGCGTAGTGTATGTAGACTAGTTGGTGGATGTAGTTTACTTATTCAGATGACATCTCTTGCTCCTGAGCAGAAACCCGTACCCTGTATAATTCATGTCGTAGGTCAATCCCAAATACGAGCCCTATGACAGTATGTTAGTTTATATGTGCTGCTAGAAGGAGGCACTCTACCTGGTGACAGGACAGTGAAGTGTTATGCAAGCCGCCCTGGCCTCAATAATCGGCGGAATTAACGGCCGGCTCCCATAGGAGATCTGATTCCGGGACTTTGGTTACATGTGCATTGCCTCCACGATGCTCGACCGTCCAGTGATAGTAAGAGTCTTTCCGCTCATGTATGCTAAAAAAGCTGAGATACTTGAGGTTGGGGAGTACATTGGCGATCCGAAGGG